TCTCTCTCTCTCTTTCTCTCGAATTGTCCTGACATTCGGCAGGCATGCACGCACGCGAATGGATCGGCTCCGCTGTGGCGACCTACATCGTCAGCCAGCTGGTCGAGAAGAACTCGAGTTATGCTAAACTGCTCGACAATACGGACTGGATGATCCTGCCGGTCGTAAATCCGGACGGCTACGAGTTCAGTCACACCGGCGACAGATTGTGGAGGAAGACGAGGAGCAATCACGCGGAGGATCAAGATGACAGTCGGTACGATCGGGATCTTCTGTCCTTATTCGTCCTCGTCCTTAGCAATCCTCTTTCAAGCACGGGTTATTTATATGTTGTTGAGAGACACAAAAATGAAGCCACGAACTTGTACGAAGTGTCTCGTGACTTCGTGTGAATCACATTTCAGGTTTCTTCAGCTAGTGAATCATTATACGAGGTGGCTGTGGGGCAAGTGCGAGGGTGTCGATCCGAATAGAAACTTCGACTACCATTGGGGCGAGATGGAGGAAGGTGGCGCGAGCTTGGACCCCTGCCACGAGACTTACGCCGGTCCACGCGCGTTCTCCGAACCGGAAACGAAGGCAATGGCCGACTATATTTTAGCTAATAAACAGAACATCAGGTAGGTGCGTGGAGTGATCTACAAAAAGAAAAAAATTATTAGTTAATTTCTCGAACCGCGTGTATCGAAAGGGGTAGGAATTTTCGAAACTCTGTACATGTTCGATAATAGCATAGAATTTATCGTTCATAATCTCTTCTGTCGCATCTACTCTCTTTTAAAAAAAAATCTGTCACTTGATAAAATTGAATCGGTCGCATAGAATGAGAGATACAAGTTCTCGCAAAGAAAAAAGATACGTCTTTGAAAATTTTCACGTATCCACTTTTGCAGAACTTTTTAGCAGAGATTTATTCAATTTAATCGAAGTGATTTTGATTCGGACTCATGACGGAGTAGCGTATTTTCTGATCATGGTTTCAGGGTTTATCTGACGTTGCACTCGTACTCGCAGATGTGGCTAGTGCCATGGGGATACACGTACACGAAACCGTCGGATTATTCCGAATTAGCGAACGTAGCTAAGAAAGCAATTGGCGCAGTCACGAAGATACACGGGACTGATTATCAAGTTGGCCCATCGGCTGACTTGTTGTACCCAACTTCAGGTACCATGCCACGAAAGTCAATATTAAACAGACAGAGGAAATAAACAATCGCTATCGTCTTTTTTTTGATAATGTCTGACAATTAACGAGGCAAGAAGCACTCTCCTCTCGCGTGCTGGTAATTAATTAAATCGATAAGTAGTCTGATAAGCGGGCTATTGAGCATCAATAACTGCGAGGCAAGATGATATCATTTTTCAAGATATGGGGACGAGAATGACGCTCGTATTTATAGAAACGGTTACTTGTATTGAATTTTCTATCGTTCACATTGGATCGTTTCGATGACATTAGCATTCTTGTCTCTTCCGAAATTGCGTAGATTTGAGTGAATGAAATTGAATCATTTTATAATCCTTTCGACGATTAGAGAATCTTGAATTTATTCGTGCAACAAAAAAAAAAAATGTTACAGTTATTTAAAAATGCTATTCTTTACAATTCTATGAAGATCTCAAAGTGTTTCGTACAACGTCCACGATTGTGTTTGTAAACGATCTTTACGAACGTTCGAACATTTTCGTGTGTGAAAACATTCGAATATATTCGATTCTGATGTGAATGAATTTCAGGTGCTTCCGACGATTGGGCCAAGGGTGTAGCCGGAATAAAATACGCCTACACGCTGGAACTTCGAGATCGTGGTAGGTACGGATTCCTACTGCCAGCGTCGCAGATCATGCCGACCGCTCGCGAAATTTGGGCAGGAGTGAAAACGATCGCCCGTCTAGTCACTTGCTACAGCTGAAATCGATTTCGAACGAGCTCGCGAAATTATCAGCAGGTTGTGTATTTTCGATGATTTCAGAGATTTCTTTCAATCAAGTATCTATCTTCGCGACCGATGATTCGATTCGATAAGCCCAGTATCGATCGGAGACCGGAGATAATCTCGAGTTGCTTTCTGTTACGAAAATTATCGATGTGCGTCGGACGAGAAAATCGAAATGCTACTCCACGAATTCTGAAACTCGATGGCAGAATTTTGTCATTTTGGATTTTATTAACGACGTTTGCTATATTTTAACGAATTTTAACAATGACATGTACATAGTGTAAAGTGCACGTTAAAGTAGAGAGAGTCACAGTACAAGATTCGATCAAGATGGAATGACTGATGTAAAGTGTAATGTGCCTTGAACGGGGTTTGGCAAGATGTAAATGAATGAGAAAATAAATGAATTACACTAAGATTTCGATTGTTAATTGATATTTCTATCGTATCCGTATAACGTATGTACAACAATTTCTTGGCAATTGAAACGCTCAATATTAACTGCTTACGAGGTAATGATGAGTTATCAATCTGTTATCAATCAGTGTCTAAAAGAAGGAAAAGATCAATGAAACAAGATAAGGATAGAAATACGAGAGGAGGTAACTTTGTAAAAATGCGATCGTGATTTAGCACGGTAATCACACAACATCAATGTGTTCTTCAAAAGTGAACGCTCTATTTAATAAAAACACGTCCAATGTAAAAATAACATCGAGTGGATTCGTTATCAATTACAATTTAGAATTATCGCCAGATATTAATACTGGAGTATCGTATATAAATCGTAATTTCCACGAGATTTCTCAAGTTGTGTCGTGACAGCCATACAACAATGTTTGCCAAGAGTATTCTGGCCTCTATTCTCGTGCTCCAGGGTAAGTGAACAGTATCTCCATTCTTATTTCTTCTATTAGACTATTCAAGATTTTGTCAAGATGTACGTTCCTTTTTTTTTTCTTTCCTTTTTCCTGAAATCCTTGTAAAATTATTAGAAAATTATTGTAAAATTTTTAGTTACAATTCGAAGAAAATATAAAGGAAATGTTGAAGGTGAAGAAGGCAATTTTTTGAAAGTAAAAGGAAACTTTACAGAGTTGTTTAAAATTAAAATTAACAAAGTAAAACCTTCGAAACTCGCATTACCGTAATGCTTTTCTTTTTATAAGTAGAATGAGAAGATGAGTCAGTCTGTGCAAAGACGAATACACGCGACATTTACGAAAAATGACCATACCGTATAATGGTAACAAGAGCCAT